TAAGAACCCCAGTGCCTTGCAGGAACTTTGTAAAATAGTTGACTCTTACTGCATCCTCTCGGAAGCCCTCCATCAATTGGGAAAAGTCGGCTTTTTTCTTGCCCCCCTCCCGGGTGTTGAGTGTGGGTAGGGGCTTAAAGCAGATGCCAACAAATTATTCTGACCGCTTCTTGGGGGTTCAGGTTTCCCTCTCTGATTGCTCAGAGATGCAGGACTCGCTCCCTGCAGACAATGTATCATCTCGCATTGCTGGCTGGGCCCACAACTTCATGCTCTCTCTCTTCGGTTGAGCCTTGGTTCTGACTTCAGCAGCATTCTCCCTGCTTTGGTTCCCATTATCAATTCATCTGCTGGGGAACACAGCTGATTCACGTATTAAGAGAGATGTCGCCCGTTTCCTGTGGAAACCCGCGGCCTTGGATCAACAAGGCTTCGTCTGGAAAGTGACGTGGGACTCTATTGCTCAGTCCAGACTTCATGGAGGTCTGGGATTCTTAGACCCGCTCCAGCAAAATCTGGCCTTACTATTATATAACATAAATGGGTCGTTTCTGCAGTCTTCGGTACTAGATCTAAACTCTGGGTCTGATTAGCTGAGTACATCCTATCCAAAGAATGGAACTGGATGCGGTGGTCAGATGTATGGATCTGCCTTTTTATTCGCTCCTACACGTCTCAAAGACCAAAATCAAAGGAGTGGCACAACATACTGCATGCTTGGCAAAAACTGTTCCTGCAGTCCTGGACTCCCCCTCGTACTCGAGGGAAAGTTATCAATCAAAATTTATTTGAGAACAAATTCATTAAATCAGCAGAGGGCAATCCTCTGAAGGCAGATGGGTCCAAAGGCTCCTTCGGCAGCGCCTGGATCGAAAAAGGAATCTCGCAGATCAGGGACATCCAGGACCCCAATGCTGACAATTAGCTATCTGTCGATCAAATTAAGTTGAAATTATTCAGACTGCGGAATGTAGACCATAAGTATCGCCTACTTTTGGACTGCATTCCTCCCTACTGGAAGGCCCCCTGCTCCCATCCTATGCAGAACACAAGCAAAGTGCCTGGCTATTAGACCCAGCAGAAAGGAGAGAAGTTCTTCGGGTCCTGGGCCTAGAGTGTCCACAGGGTATACGAGTTCAAGTCTGGCTACGCAAACCACTGTCGCCGACAGGGACTCCCGTTGCTTTCACAGGCGAAAGGGTTATCCCCTCCACCGCGGATCTAATAGAATGCAGAATTTGGCATAGACTGGTAGGGAAAGAGAAACTACCGGTAGCTACGTTGATCATAGAAGATGCTTCGGATATCCACTTGGAGCCATTGCTTTGCGGATGGTCAGGCCTGGGGGGAACCCAGGACTTCACTCCAGTGATGTCGTATAACACTAAGCTGGGTGTGCAGTTACAGAGAGCCTTAGTGAAGAAACAACCGATTGTCACGGCTTCAGAAAGATTAGCTAAGGAACCAGGGCTTTACTCTGGGCAACATTGATCTTTTTGGCCTATGGAGGGCTCAAAAAAATATGGTATCTCAGAAACAGGCCAGCCTTATGTGGCTACAGCATTCTACTGGTTACGCCTTCTGCAGTTTGGCTAACCGCCAAGAGAATGAACATCAGGGAACAGTGTGCTCCCTGCCAATGGGGATGGGAAAATGCATCACATATTTGGCTCTATTCCCTCTATTCTATCCAAGGATGGGAATAGTGGAAAACTATCGCAGGGAACGCTTTCACCTGGTCCCACCTGGTCCCACCTGGTCCCACCTGGTCCCACGAATGGTCCCACAAATGGTCCCAATATGGTAATGTCCCGCCAAGGAACAGACTTCTCCAAGGGATGGGCTTACGTGGCCTTTGGCTACTCGAGGAGCAATTATGGAAATACTGTGGAAAGCCCGTAATGGTGCTACTTTCAAACAGGAACCTACATCCCTCCACGCTATGCCCAAGTCTCAACTATTAAAGCTCTGAGCAGACAGACGATCAGCGTGGATTGGTGGCACAACAAGCGGGCTCACCCACGCAAAGGCCGGTATTGGTTCTCCCAGACTTGGCTCCAAAATGACAAAACGATCTCTATTTACCCAGAGGGTTCTCTGTCCTTCCCTAAATGGTTATGCTCAGATAAGCCCTAGGCTGAAATCCGAGTGATGGGGCTTCTGTTTCTAAATGGTCGAACTTTAGACTATTTGGGCCGCCATTATTTAGGCCCTCATTTCCTTTTTGGTAGCTTTTACTTCTGTAACTATCTCCTGTTTTCAACTGCCTTCCTTCGCTGTTGGCTCTTTGAGCCCCGATGTTCTGGATCTGTTAGTAAAAGGATAGTGTCCTTAAATGTAGCAGTAATGTAGTGAGTTTAGGTACTTCCTCCTTTGTTTTTTTTTTCTTCATATTAATACTCCTTGGTATGGTTTCTCTCTTAGGTTGGTTAGATCTTTTCGTAGCATTTTAAATCACTTTTATAATTCTGGTTTTTAAGTATGATTGAATGCTGTAGGGTGCTTTTGGAGAAATTTGGACACTTGGGTCCCTAGTGGGTCCTGTAAAAAGCGAATCTGGGTAAGGCTCCCAGACCATTTTCCCGGTAGACTGTGAGGACCCCGGCCTCAACTATTTCTGCTGGTAATTCCAGCTTTGGGCACTGGGCCCTAAATAATAATAATAATAATAATAATAATAATAATAATAATAATAATAATAATAATAATGCACACGACCCTCCTGGTTCGAGTACGCGTTCATTGTCATGATTTCACTTACGTCCGATATCCAGACCTACTGAAGACAAAAGCTGGGCCTGAGGATTCTCTGTAATACCAACAGACGAGGGGACAAATGATGCAGACAAGGCAAACCACAGCCCAGAAAATGTTTCGGGAAATCTGTTAAAATGGGAATGAGGCAGGGAAGATTAGCATGGCCTCTGCGGAGACGCCACGGGAAAAGAGTTGGAGAAGGAGAACGGGAAGGACGATGAAGAAGAAGAAACCAAGAAGCAAGAACAGGAAAGAAAGAAAGAAAAAAAACTGCAGGAGGAGGAGGAGGAGGAGGAGGAGAAACAAGCGGCAGACGCCCGCAGTTCAAGAAACAGATTTCTGAAATTTGAAGTAAATTAGGTCATACGGAAATAGAAGCGTAACGCCAAAGCACATCAACTAATTAATGAAAAGAACCCCCCATCACAAAAAAGGGGGATTATCTCAACCATTAAATCAACAAATTTTGCCATTACCGATCTCGTTCCCCGACCACATACAATCTCCTGCTCTACACTGTCTTTTCCCCTGGTTCCAACTCTCTCCCACTCCCGCTCTCTGCAACGCATTGCATCTCCTTATCCCTCACCCCTTTCCTTCCTTGCACCGACCTTCAAGAGCGCTGTAGGAGGAAACATACACATCCAAATCCAAATCCAAATCCAAATCCAATTTCGATCCAAACTGACGCCTGAAAATCATCCGCAATCAAAGGGGGCAAAAACCCTTGCACTGAACCAGGACGAACCCCTCCGTACCCATCCCACCTGACTGCTGGCTCTCACCACTTCAGGCTCCTCCTCTTTATGATCAACATCCCAGGGACGGACTGCTACTTCTCAAACGACAGCAGTTATGACTTCGTAAGTAACCCAGTGACATCTGGGCAACCGACATTTCATACACTTTCCTCATCACCTTTACGTCACAGCGTCCTGTTCTTCTCTCTCCCACTCCGCCCACCTCGCCCCTCGGCCCCCAGCTTCCCTCCCCTGACCTCTCTCTCTCTCTCTCTCTCTCTCTCTCTCTCTCTCTCTCTCTCTCTCTCTCTCTCTCTCTCTCTCTCTCTCTNCTCTCTCTCTCTCTCTCTCTCTCTCTCTCTCTCTCTCTCTCTCTCTCTCTCTCTCTCTCTCTCTCTCTCTCTCTGTGTGTGTGTGTGTGTGTGATTGTGTGTGTGTGTGTGTGTGTGTGTGTGTGTGTGTGTGTGTGTGTGAAACTCGAGCAATTCGAGCATAAGAACCCCAGTATCTGATGCCTTCGGAATGGCAAAGCATCACGACCATTCGAACACGTATCTTGCTTGAAGTGATGAATACATTTAACTTAAGGAGTCGAGCTACCCTGGCCGCATATAACCTGGCACAGTAGCATTTTACACTACCTCTGTAGTAGATCCGGAAGTGGCAATGGATACAGAACCCAGCCTGAAAAGCAATCAACCTATCGCAGCGCATCACAGGCGGAGCCGCAGCAACAACTGAGCTCATCGTATGGCGTTCATCTGCAGAAAGTATTCCAAAAAAAAAAAGACATTACGGCAGAGCAATTCCTGACGAAATCAACAAGGAACAGAAGATTCAACAACCGCCCCCCTCCCCCCCCGCTCCGCTCTTCTTCCCTTTCCACTCTCCGTTCGCCGCTCGCCCTCCTTCCTTCCCCCAACACGCACACACAGGTACGCACGCATGCACGCACCTACCCCACCCACACTGGCACACAGAATCAGATCTCCTTCACGAGGATCCCCGCTGCGTTGCCATATGAATAATGCCAGAGAAAACAGACGCGACAAGAAGGTCCCGTCGGCTGGGATAGCAGTTGGCTTCAACTCGGTAGCAAACTTGGGCTCTGCCTACCTACGGAAGCAACCAGAGGAGTCCATCTGGCTGGCGTGATACTAATACTGTATCTGAAACCGGTAGTAACGGTAGATTCCTGGCGCGTTTAGACCTAGCTTTATGAAGGAGAGAGGTCACTGCGTGCACCTCTTGTGTTTGAACTCCCTAAACGTTTTTGACTCGCGATCATTCTCTCGCTTCGCCAGCCAGAGCCATATCCTTGGCCGGCCTGTCTGGCTAACTATCAGCTTGCGTGTAACCTCCTCCCCACTCTTCCTTCGGCCCCTCTTTCTAAGATTCTTGCTGCCCAATCCGCAGTCGTGCTTCCGCATCATAATGCTCAAGCTCCTCCGTGCGACCCCATCGTCCCTACTATAATGAAGGTCCTCTTGAGCTGCTCAAGGTTCTTTGCCCACGCCTTTATCACAATCCTGTGACCAATCGCTCTATATAAGGATGTACCGTCAGCATCCATCTGGTATTGCAGCCCCTCCCTCCGTTTCAAGGGATCCTGGTCCGTTTATATCCGTTGGTCATGATCGATTCATCGCCGATCAAACCCAAATCCCCAACTCCCCATCTTCCACATAAGGCGGTCGACCGCTCGAGCCGAGTTTCCTTTCCCCCTCCGATCGCATCCTTCGCTCACGTCAGCTTCAACCGCGCAGTACTCACTACTCCGTAGCCCCCTCTCATCCTCCCTTAACCAGTCTGGATGGGCTGCACCAATGCCAGTAGCATTCTACGGCTACTACAGCTACCACTACACGTGTCCTCGAAAGCGACAAGGACATCGCTGACTGCAACACACCTCAAGCGCGCTTTTTCTGACATCTCTACTTCGATCCGCTGGCTGATGGCGTGTACTGCTCTTTGACGCGTGCCTAACGATTCTCCGCTGCCTCCTGATCACTGTTCCTCTGCCCAGCTGATGACTCAAGCGAGCCGACCCCTCCCCCTCCCCCTCCCCTCCCGCTGAACCTATGCGAGCAAGCAAGCGAGCGAGCGTGCGTGCCTGAGCGAGAGTATACATGCGAGTGAGGATGGGATAATAGGCAGACAGGTGCACATACGGACGTGCCTGCGTGTGCAGCTGGGTGAAGAAGCGAAGGGTGCGAGAGACATGAATCGCGGCAGGCGATTGCAGTCATGCACCCTCATTCCCCCCTTCGACCCCGGTCCATCAACACATGTGTTGATGTTTTTGATTCATTAGAACGATGTCGGCATTTGGGGTGCTTCCGAGAAAATGGGCTTCGGCGTAACCGAGACCGAGACCGGCATCGGATGCCGTCCGTTTTCTCAAGGTCAAGATGGAAGAATCGTCACCGTCATGGAGTGGATGGCCAATGGCCAACCGTGCCTCGGCCGTAAGGAGATGTGAATCTGTTCCTCCTCTTCCTCCTCTGTCTGCACCCACGCCTCCAGCTCCTCGATCCGAGAAACCCGGCCTGTCCTGCCCCATGGGATCCATCAAAATCGGTGCACAAAATTCCCTTGAAGTGCCAGCTGTAACCGTGGGGGGTGGCCTGACATCGCATCGAATCTGCAGAGAAAGGTCCTGATCGTCGTCGTCACGACGATCATCATGCTGTGAACTGGCCTGGTGGTCATGGTGATGACGATCCTGACGAGGATGATGGTAATGCGGATGATGCGGCTGAAACTGTTGATGATCAATATTGCCAGAATAAAAAGAAGAGAGAGGGGTATCGAACACCTTCTCGAAGTGTGTTGGGACCAGATGCGGATCCCTGTAAGAGGACGACGATTCCAAGTTATGCTGCGGCATCGATGATGGGGCATGAGGGGGAGAGGGAGAATGGGCAGTGCAGAGCTGCGAAGGTCCCATGAAGCATCTAGCAGTCAGGTGCAGCTGCTGGGGTTGCTTCGCTCGCTCAATCTGTTCCCGGCTTCCCTGACCTTGTCGTAAGTCCAGAGCAGAGCAGCCACCGGACGACGCTTCCGGCGGCCACCGCACCGCGGGTTGCCACGTCAGGCCCCCCGGTCGACCAGGGCTAGATCCTGCTACCGGACCGGCATGATCCCTGTCGCTCCACCCGTCTTTCGCACGGCCGAGAATCGCCTCAGACGGTCCGAAAGCGCCACCGCCGATGGAGTTGGCATTACTCATGTTGTCGTTCCCGTTGTTTTTCTTGTTGTCGTTGTTCGAGTTGCTTTGTTGATTGGTCACGGGGGACGCCGGGGAAGCCCCCACCTCCAAATTCACACCGAACAGTCGGGTATTGTTTGAACAGGCCTGCGCATCTTCATCCTCCTTGGTCCTTGTTTGATTAGCATCCGCCGAAGGGCCGGGAGCCTGACTTCCAACAGAGCGTCGTGAGGTAGGGGACAAGATAATGCTACCTCTGCAATCGAACACTTGTGGTGGTGGTTCCTCGATGCACCTCATTCTCACAGCGTCACCAACTTGTTGCATCCTCATCCTCGGTTCCGATCCCTGTTGGCAACCCGTCTCATAGAAGCCTGGTTGAAAACTTGGTCCCGCAGGTCCCGCAGTCGCATGCCGATTGGGCGCCGCTCTTGCTGGCCGACACTGCGGCGGTGCAAAGTTATTCCCGCCTAGGCCTGGTGTGGCATGCGGCTGGTGGTGATGCAGCATGGATCTGCCTAGGGCACCCATGAAAGCGCCGACATCCAAAGGCGGAGATGGCAGATCGACGGAGGGTCCTCCGTGAATGTCAAACTGGTGGCCGAGCTGGAGCCAGGACTGCGGCACTGGGGTAGGTAGAGTCCTAGTACTGGCGCCGGCCGCGGCGGCGGCCGCGGCGGCGGCAGCGGCAGCAGCAGCGGCAAGGGCAGCAGGAGTCCTCAACGACGGCGGAGTTGGCGGGACGACGCAAGGCAGAGTGGCTGGCAAGTGGATTCCCGAAGCTGCCGAAGGCGGCAGCGGCGGCGAGGCGTTCACTAAGCGAGGGGCGAACGCTCCTCCATGGCTGTGAACGTAATGACGGGTCTGATGTTGCTGTTGCTGATGGTGATGATGCTGGTGAAGACCAGAGTCGAGAGCGGACGTGGCAGCCACCATGCAGGTAGAGGGGGGCGGAGGACCCTGAGCAGGCTTCCGCCTGAAGCCGATGTACAAGTCCGATGTCTGGCCCCTATGGAAGTAGACGATGTCGCCCGGGACCAAAAGCTTCTCCTTCACGAAGCGGCTCCATCCCTTCGTCAAAACGTAACTTTGGCTGCTGTTCCAGTACGAGTACCGGAACCTCCAGTGCTTTCCTGACTCGTCTTCGAAAGAAAGCGTCTGCGCGGCTCTTGCCCCGGTCCCGACATCCAGAGGGAACCACCTTTCTGCATGTTGTTTGGGGATAACCAAACGATTAAGCTTTCCCACATCACTCGGAGTCACAGCCTTTTCGAACAAAGGCTCTTTCTTTACCTGTTTCCTTGCATCTGCCACGATGCTGGCAGGAGCAGCCCCTCCCATGCAAGAAGACGAGCTGGTGTTGCTGTTATGACTCACAACCAATCTGTTCCCGTGCGTCAGCAACGTCCCCGCCAGATTCCCTGGCCCAGCCCCGCTCGACATTCCTGCCCCATTTCCCGCCGCCACCGAACTGAACATGGCAAGATGAGGCTGGATGAACCCCCCTCCATTCTCTCTTTGGTAATCCCGCTCCCCCGTATCGTCCTCCCTATCCGTGAATCCCCCGTCTCCGAGGCCCACTGCCAGCCCCCGCCTACACCCGAAGTTCTGACCCTCGCTAGCCGACTCATTACAGCTATCTCCTCCGTTGATCGAGCCCACTGGAGTCATGTTCAGGGTTCCCAATCTTGCCCTCCTTCCGCTGTGTTGTTCCATCTCCTCCTCCTCCTCCGCAATCCCTTCCTCCTCCTCCTCCTCTTCCTCCTCACGACCATTCCCGCGCAACATATCCACAACTTGCAGGTGACGCCGGTCTTTGTCCTCATGAGACCGACTGAACATCCCTCGTTCGCCTGCGCCCGCCCCTTCTCCCTCGCCCTCTCCCTCCGCAAGCAAAACTGCATGTCGGGTGCTGCCACCACTTAGTCTCTCGATCACATTAATAGATGTTTCTCTCTCGTATCCCAACCCTTTGAGCTCGCCTTCCTTGCCAGAGAACCGTCTCAGCCAGCTCATCCTCTCCAAACTCTGCTCATCGAACAAATGGGCTCCCCACCCCCTGCTTGCTTGCGAGCCCATACCAGGGTATTCTAAAGGCGATGGGGACGAAGAACACATCCGACGGTTGTCGGCAACCCACGACTGTTGCTGCATTTCCAACTCCTCAGCCAAAACGACGCCTGGCTCCCCTCTGTCCGACGAACAACCGTGGTTTTGCCCGTACCCTTCGACTCCCGCGTCTATGCAAAAGGATTCGTTGATTCGTTCAGCATTTGGAGCATGCGCGACGCCAGATCCTAACGATTCTCCTCCTCCTACCTTACATCCTCCTACCGGTAGTTCTCCTCCTACTACTTCTCCTCCTCCTCCTCCTCCTCCTCCTCCTCCTGCTTCAGGTCCTCGCCCCTCTACTTCGCCAAAGCCGGCCGCTGCCAGGTCTTCCATACGCCCACATGGAGAAGCCACTGTGGTCCAGACAGTCTTCCTCCCTCGCTGAGTTCTCTCTTGACTTACAGTTTGTGAAGACGAGGCAGCGCCGTCCATGTAGGAGGATGCATTTTCTTCCGTACACCTTCTCTCCATCTCCATGAGGGTTCCTTCGTCCATCTCGCCTACACCTCCGCCACGTGCACCCAGACCTAGAACGGACAGGTGCTCATATTCAGCTGCTTGCGCCTCCCTCCCCACCCCTCTCGAAGTTCCCTCTTCGCATGGAAGCAGCAAGCTCCGCCCTTCTCCTTCCATTAGCGTGCCTAACGGTCCTCTCTTATTTTCCAGGAATTGATGATGCGGCTGTCCCTGATTATCACCCGCGATCATTTGCCGTTCCTGTGTCTGACGCAGTGCACTGTGATTATATCGCATTTCACCGTTCATGCTCATCTCCACACTTCCATCTTCCAGCTCCTCTTCTTCATCGGATTCGGTTCCTTGCTTCACTCGCGACGCACCCGGGCCAACGTGCCCTCCCTGCCCTTCGCTCATGGCCCCTCCACCCCCATCCCAACCTGCAAGCTTTCCCACCATTTGCCCTGCAAAAACCTAGCAATCCTGGCCCGATCCCGATTCCAGGTCCTGCTTCGGTGGCACGTCCCGCTGCAGTTTCAGATGACGCTTCAGCAAGGAACAGCACCAGCGGCGGCGGCGGTGGCAGCAGCATGCTTCCTGCCCAACGTCCCTTCTGTTGGAGCCGTTTACCACAACCTTAGCTTCTGATCTCACAAACCGCCACCTCCTCCCTCTCCCCCCCCAAATCATCTCTCCCTCTGCAGCTTCGTCTTCTCCTTCCTCCTCCTCCCCTTCTTCTTCTTCGTCTCTCCCACTTACCTCCTCCGTTCTCCTGTCGCTCGCATCATCTGCGACTCCCAAAGAATCAGCAACAGCAATGGCAGCACCAGAGCACATCCACCGGGTTTCCGCGTTCTTGAAATGCAGTTCATGGACCATGTACATTCCCTTCTCCATGCTTGCTTTAGACTTACCCCAGTCAGATTCCCCCTCCTCATCCCAAAGATGCAGTAGCAGTCGTGGTATAATTGCTCGAGTGCATGGGCTCGTCTTGCACGCCTGATCGCACGCCAATGTGACGGCCATCTACCTCCAAAACACTGAACACCACATTCGCCTCTTCACAATCACAACGATTCTGATTGCAAATTCGATCAATCATCTCGATACATTCATTGTATGCCCATTACCAATCAGTGAGTGACTGCCTCGTTCTGCAACTTGCCCGTTCTCCTTTCCGCTTTCGCGAGCGAAAAAATCGGAGCTCCCCTCTTGCAGACCTCTTTCCTCCTTTCTTCCTCGTCTTCCCTTCCCCTTGTTTCATCGTCCCCTCTCCCCAATGTGGTATGGTGCAAGTAGATCAGCTCAAACTTCGGCGCGCTTTGATCATCGATCTTACCGGCTCCCTCGCCCCCCCCCACCCTAGTTTATGGACTCTACCCAACTTCTCCATGAACCTGCTCCACCACGGCGGCTTGCATCGTGCTGCTCGCCGTCATCGAACAATCATCCACTCTCCCCCACGTTCTGTCTCGAGGCGGCGGCGGGATAATCCCCAGCGTCCTCTCTGGGCAAGACCCAGACGACACTGCCGCTGATACCGAGGCATGACGGAGGCTTCGTGCCGTCCGCTGATCACTCTGGATCGGTTGATTCAACAAAAACTTGTCGACGAGTACGTCTACAGCGTTGGCGAGCGTGACTTGCCAGTAACGGCGAGCAACAAATGAGATTGCTACTGGCGCAGCCTTTCTGCAAGACCAGAATCCCGAGGAGGAGGAGGAGGAGGAGGAGGAGGGGGAGGCAGCATTGAACGTTCCCGCGACAACAGTCAGTGAGCTTCTGTGGGATGGTCGCCTTCGTCGGGCTCGGCCCGATATGCACGGCATTGAAGCCGATTTCCTGCGCGCCGATCCTGGGCGCGAAATCGGCGCTGTGCATGAGCAAAATGACCGACGTGTTGGCGCGGTCCGGTTTTAAATTGAAACGGGTTCGATCCGACAACATCCCAGTCTACCCTACCCTTGCCTACCGGCTGCCGTCCTGTGGCTTACGCCATGGTCACACTACCAGACAGATATGGGACTTCGAAGACGTGTGTGACCGTAGCTAGACCCGGATTCACAATCACAATCCACCAAGGTTGTCCGGTTGAGGGTACCATCACTACTGCACACACGGGCTCCGTCCGCTCTCGGTTTCGTCGGCTCGTGGGGCGACGACTTTTTGTCCGCTTTCTTTCCCTTCTCATTCTTTTCTTTTTCATCTTCAGAAAAAGCAGATGAATCGCGATTTTCCGCACTTTTCCACAAACACGTCCAGATTAGGGTGTCCAACCCTCTTTGCCGGTGGGAGCTCCCCCCTGGGGAGAGGGGGGGACTCAAACGTGACATCGGCGGGACTCAAACGTGACATCGGGGTCCGGAGAGACCGGACGGAAGGGCGGCACCGAACCGAGCGATCGACAGAACAACCGCAAGCCACAAACTGCAAGTGAAGTGAATAAGGAAATTTGAAAAAACAAAAAAGCAAGGGACTCGTCCGCGCAGACGATATGTTGTCTTGTTTCTCTGTCGATTTTCCTTTTTGTTTTCATTTTTTGCTTTTCCCTTTTCCCCAAAGTGACACTACTTTTCATTTTCATTAGGGCCCCACTGCCCACTGCAAACAGCTACCTTTTTGGGGGTTCGGGGTCATCACTCATGCCGAGGAAGGACTCGTGGCGGGCACGCCCGCCTGGACTTCGGGGACTGCGATATAGGCGGATAAAGCGGGCCGATAGTCAGGCACGAGATGCCCCGAAAGATAACAGGAAACGATCTTGTTGAACGGCCCTTTTCCCCTCTTTCTTCCATCTACTCTTCCCTGCTTTTCGCTGCCTCACTGCCTCGCTGCCTCGCTGAGGACGTGAGACGTGTAATAAAAAATAAAAAAAAAAGACGTGCATTGTACGGCCAGAACACAAGCACGACCACTGTTCCGAAACTATCGAGGACCCACAATCAAGAATTGTGTAACTCCGTGTCCGTGGATCGAGCTGGGACCCAAGGGAGCCAAGTCCCTTTTCGAAGGGGGGAAAAAAAAGCAAAGAAAATCAAAGGGCCCAACGCACCAAAAAAAAAAAAAAAAAAAAGTTTTGTTTTGCCTTCTCCCCATCGGGGGACAGCCATATATTTTTCTCTCACCTCACATATTTTTAACTGGCGTTCCGCCATGTCAAGGAACATATCTGTCTTTCATTACCTACCTACCCCTACTCCTAAGGGTATACAGGGGACGCCTGCAAGAATAGCTTTCTACCTCTCTTCGGTGACGGGAGGTTACCTCTCTCGGTGGAGAGAGGTATCAGTAAGGTCTTCAGCCAACACGGGTGTGAGTGCGCGTGTGAGTGGGTTCCGTGCGGTGCGTGGGAGAGTGTTGGCTTCAGACACTACTGTTACTCGACGGGGGTGGGGGAAGATGAAAAGGGAGGCACAGTTACCAGCAAATGCTAGGTCCTTGGGTTAGCCGGGCCCCCACCGGCGGCCCCAACCCTGCACCCAACACAGAATACTAAACAATGCACCAACTCACCTAGTTTTTTTTCTTTTTTTATAATTCCTCCCTTATCCCTTTTATTTTTTATTTTTTTCAAAATTCTTCGCTCAATCTATCTATGTACCCATCCTTCTTAGCTATATCATCCTCTCGCTTCGCTCAATCTATCTATGTACCCATCCTTCTTATCTATATCATCCTCTCGCTAGTCTATGGCCCGGACCCCACTGGCCGGCGCCCCGTAAAAATGTTTCTATGGAAGCTCGTCATGGCCCCACTGGGGTGTCGGGTTTACGCCAGGGTAGCCGGCGACATGAATTTCAGACCACACCGCCTGTATGGAGACGGGGCTGCGCATGTTTCTACTCGGGCAGCGGCTGGAAAAGACGAACCGGAAATCCGGCACCCCTTTTCCAGAGTTGGCAGAAACTGGCAAGTTGAGAAAAAAAGCCAACTTGTGTTTCCAGCCGCCGGCTGTAGGAGGTGTACTTCATGGGCGGCACGGACATCCGAGATGGACCAGGACTTTGGCGGGCCTCCCTAGGACCAGCCAGGCCCGCCTGTTTTCGTGTTTTTTCTTTCTTTTGCTGATTTTTGTTTGAATCCCCAGCGAATTGCTTCGTCCACAGGCAGGCGATGTCTCCCTATGGTACCAGCCTTTAATTGAACGGGAAAGGTGTGAACAACACGGCATTGACAACCGCCTTAGCCGCCGCATTTCACCTGTTCACCCACTGCAGCACCATGAAGACGAGCATCAACAGGGTGTCTTCCCAATCATCACCCGTCAACCCAGAGTGGCCAGCGCCCATCGCTACGTCCCTCGTAGCCCGTCTCCAATGTCCCTTCGCGGTACCCGCCACGTGCACACGCTATGGCAACCACAATGTTTTCCCCAACGTCGCCTGTCTTTGGTGTCCTTTTACAGTACCCGCCACGTGCACACGAGGATGTGCATAGGGTTTCGTCCACCCTCTGCCTCTTCTTCCCTGGCTGGCCTCTCCCATCGGCACAAACGACGGTCGAAAAAAAACAGAGCAGAACCGGTCCCAATGTGGCGGTGGGACACTTCCAACAGCGTCGCCAACCGCCCCTCCAACGAATGTGGAACTCCCCACAGGCAAGAGCCGATCAGAACCAGCGATGTGCGTTGGTCCAGTTGAAAGCGGACCACTTTCCATTTCGAGACAAGGCGGAGAGCGTTTTCCCGTTCGGGAAAGTGAGGCTGCTTTTCAGCCTCTTTCCATCCGCCTTCCAACCCTCGATGGTAGGGTCCCTTTTTTTCGTGCCAAAACATTTCAAGTCCATGCCCGGACTTTCGTTTCCAGGTATCGGCTATATCTCCATGCGTCAGTCAGTAGGTTCCGAGCCTATCATGTATGTATAGTACGGGAAACACCAACCAACCTGGATCTCTCCCCAACCCACGGGGTAGGTTCGCACCGCAGGAGTGGTGCGAGAGCAAGGATGTACCAGCCCCTCATCACGGTGATGTGGGCTGGGGAGGCACTGCCGATGGGGGAAACCGGTGGTGCTAATGCTGAGCACTATGGCCACTCGCTGCACCTCCCCCTACCCCCCCCCCAACCCCATATTAGCGGTGTCTAATGGCCAATATAGTTGTTGCATAGCAACCAACAACATTGGCCAAGGTCCTGCCAACGTTGGTTTGGGGGCCCAATGGGTTATCTCTAGCTGCAAGCTTGATGTTCTACCAACTAGACTAGTACAGTTGGTATCCCTCTGAAACTGTTGAAATACAAACTTGAGTTCAAACTCAACTAGAAGCACATCAGTAAACACGATAATTTAAAGGGGGAGGGGGGTCTGCATTGCTACGGCGTTGAAGCGCACAACCCAACGCAGCGTTAGTGGACAAAGGCTTAGGGTTTCTTTACGACAGAGCTCAACCGCCATATTCAAGTTCTAGCGCACTCGACACATGACAAGTAGTTCTCCGACA